GGAACAATGGACCACTAATGTCTAAAATTAAAACAGATGCTTATTTTTTTTACTACCTATGATTCATATTCATAGGTTTTGAGAAATTGAATAGATTCAATATTCTTTTGACACAATGAACCAATAAACTGAGACTAATCTAAAAATCTGCAAGAAAATTTTATAGTGGTCAAAATTAAATATAAAGATTTTTAAATGTTTATATTATTATTTTTTAAATCATGATCTTAACTAATTATTTCATAATATAACATATAATATAATCCAAAATGAAATATAATTATATTATATATTTAAGATGTTTTTTGAGTAAAAAAATTACAATCAAACTTGCAGATATAGAAAAAAAAAGTATCGATAAACCATAACTCTTATGATGTACAATGATTTCAACTGTGATTCTATTTCTTATTGTGCCAAATTGTTAGTGTATAATAACATATAATAATTAAATGTGTGAAAAAAAATACATATACACATTCGTTCGTATATATGTACATATAAATATTAAGTGCTGAATAAAAGTATTGGCACATTCCAACATTTTTTTATAATATTCTTTGTAAATCTTTAAAATATAAGATTTTCTTTCTAATTTTTTACTAAAATATAATATTAAAATCTAAAATTTATATATTAGAATTTATTAAATAATATAAAATATATAATAATGATAAAGATAAAAAAATAAAAAGTAGTAATAATAAATAAAAGATTATTTTCAATGAAACAAATATTAAAAAAAATATTATTTTGCAATATAAATAATCAACAATATCAATTTATACTTAAAATTATATTTTAACAAAAAATTGTTGACAAAATTCTATATTTTAAAGATTTACGAAAGATGTTATTACAAAAACTACAGTGTGCCAATATTTTTGTTTAGTACTGTATATATGTACATATAATAAGATTATATCTATACAAAATATTATAATGTTTTCAAATGAATAAAGAAAAAGACAATTAAGTATTTGTTCACTTAATAATTAAATGTTTCCAAAACTAAAAAAGTTAATAGATGTGAAAAGTATTTTACATAAGTCCATGTTATATATTTATAATAAGTGTTTAAACCTTATATTAACCATGTGACCTGATATATTCAATTTATAATATTTAGTAAATGTGTCTATGTCTATATGTTAATATCTATATATAAATATCTATATATTATATATATAAAACATCTTTAATATAATTGTGCCTGATAGTTGTTAAAAAATTATAAAAAATATAAGATGAAGATGCATTACAATTTACAACTAAAATAAATAATTAAAAAATATTAAACAATCAAATAGAGAAATTGTACAACTATCAGGCACTATATGATCTACTCTGTAAATTCTGTGATAATTTTATGTAATTTGTAAAAAAATAAAACAGATGCATTAAAAATGATTCATTTCACAAAATAAAAATATTCTGCATCAGAAATTATTTAAAATTTTTTTGTATTAATCTGATTTTATTATTTTTACATTTCACTAATTAATAGTGAAAGTATATTATATGATCAATCAAAAATAAAAAGTATCATTAAAATCCTAATATTATAAAAGACTAACGATTCGAAGTAACAAGACCAGCAGGTCCCAATCCTAGCTTTGTAGTAATTGCTTTTACTCTCAATGGCTGAAAACCAAGTTCACTTTTTGGAATTCCATATTCTTGTAATTTAGTTTCATACGATCGAAGTAGATCGTCATGCGCTTTACACACTTTCGCTAATTCATATTGAAGATCTTGTATCGCATTATTTTTCTTATTCAGCATATTCTTAAAAAGAAGAAATATTTATATATATATATGAATAATAAGAAGGAAAAAAAAAATGTACAAACCTCTAATTTTTGATTAGCATTAATAACTGCCATTGGGTCTAATTGAGCAGCAGCAAGCACTTCACTGATTTGTGCTTCGCGCTGCTCTAATAAATCGGATAATTTTTCGAGTTTCTTTTCCAAAAGAACATTTTTTAATCCTGTCTTCTGTTGCAGTTCAAGTATTGCTGAGACAAATCTTGCATGTAATTCATTTCTTTCAGATTGACACTAAATAATAAAATATCAACTTTTAATGAATAAAATAGATAATTATTAAAAAAATATATATAAAAAATATAATTATAAAAAAAAACATAATATTTTTATTTACTTTTTCAAATCGTACTTCTAGTACTTCATTTTCCCATCTTAAATTCTCCAAATCTTTGTTAGTTATTGCTAATCTTTTTTTAATATTCTGAAATTAAAGTTTTAAATAAAAAATAATCAATGTAAGAAAAAATATTGTAAATACTAACAGCCAAACTTTGTTTATCTTTTTCGTAATTTGCTAATTGACTAGTAAGAGTTACTAAAGATTCCTCATACGATTTTTCATTGCCAGAATATTTTTTATTTTCAATTGTTAATTCTCGTACTTGTTTTTTCATACGTTCTTCATTATTTCTCATTTCATCCATTTGTTCCTGCAAATTCATTATTTACATTATAAATATATAATTTCATTTTTTAATCAACTATACCTTCATACTCTTAATCAAAGATAGATTATTAAGAGTAATGTCATTATAATAAGCTTTCATTTCTGCAAATGCAACTTCATGATTTTTAATCAAATTTGTAATTTGTGTATTTTTTCTTTCTTCTACTTCAGTCATTTCCATACGATGTTTTAAAGTAAGAGCTTCATATTGACTTGTTAATTTGTGTTCATATTTTTGTTCTAGTTCTATAGCTTCATTTTCAAATTGTTTTATTAGTTTATCTATTTCTTCTGCATATTTCTAAATAATAATATTTATTTACATATTATTGTATATATAATATTTAAAAGTAATAAAATAAATTTTTTATTTCTTTCATACCAATTTTAATGTTTTTATTTCATTTAAATGTGCTAAATCCTGTTCTTTTTGCATTTTTTTTAATTCTCTTTTATCTTTAATTAATTCGTTTTCTTGAAGAGTATAATCATCTTGTGCCATTTTAAGAGCAACCATGTGTTCAGCTTTAGTTTCTGACAAATCAGTTTGATGCTCATACATTAAGTGCTTTACTTTCTGTTTATATAATTTAAGCTCTGCTTCATGTTTTTCTGATAACTCTTCTTTTTCGCGTTCTTTATTTCTTTAAAAATACTATATATAAATTAAATGATACTAAAATATTAATTATATAAGAAATACCTGACAGTTGCTTGCGCTTCATCTAATTGATGTCTTGTGATTTCCCAATAAGTTCTGATTTTATCTCTTTCAAGTTGAAAGAAATTTCTTTCTTCCCGTTCGCGTTCTATTTCTTCAAGTATCTTATGTGCATATATTTCTAATTGTTCTCTATTCATTTTTGTTGTATCTGCTCCATCAAGGATACGTGCTTTTGCTTTCTTAGGTCCCTAAAAAATTTAAATATAAAAAAAAATAATTTATGTATACGATTACAAAATTTTTTAATTTATAAATTTATAAACTCACCATTTTTATAAAAAAAAATAAAATTAAAATTAAAAAAGTCGAATACCACGAAAATATCTATCTATTGCAACTTTTGTTGATTACAAATAAAAATTTAAGAAAATAAATAATAACAGTATCAATTAATATTTTAGGATCGATATCTTTATTTTATAATTTCATTAATAAAGATTACTACATCGTTTCAACATGAAATTATAGTGTTTTGTTCGATTAGTTGCTAAGTAACCAAAACTTAACAGTATAAAGAGAACATATAAAATAGGGATAATATAGTTTATAATATAATAACAAGAAAAATTATTTTATTTCCTAATAATTGTGTTATTTTATTACAAATATAATAAAATAATATTTATTTTTATATAATTTTATTATAAATATTCATGCAATAAGAAAACACATTAAATGCATGTATGTAAGTCTATTAAACATATTTAAAATATTCGTTTACAATACAAAATTTTTAATATTTCGCATTCAATAAGAAATTATTTATTAATATAAGAAAACTACATATATTCTATTTCATAAAAATAAATTTATAAACAAATTTAAAAATTTTCTGTTTGTTATATATTTGTAAATTTATACAAATATTAGCCATAATAATAAATGTATCATAAAATATGTTTAGAAAAAACATTTTTTTTATAGTGTTATAATACAAATATCATGATATTTATCATTCTATTGTTTATCATGTTATAAATTATTCTATAAAAGAAATATCTAACAATATGTTATATGTTTATATCTTGAAGCACCGTATGTACTTATAATTCAGTAATGATAAATATATTATCAAATATATTTTGCAAATAACTAAAAAAATGCATGTTATTAACCTATAAATGTGGCCACTAAGCAATATACTTTGTATTAATTTTGATCATTATCATAACAAATTACTAATCAATTATTATACTTTGTCTTTTAATAATCAAAGTAAAAACTATTAATAATAATAACAGTTATTAATAGATAATAATAGATATTAAGTACTTATTAATATAATTGATTTTTTCTTCTGTTTTTTAATAATCATAAACAATTAAAAAATTGCATATAATTATAACAAATACTATGTTATTATGTGAGCATATATTTATAAAAACATTTAAAAAATAAAATATGAGGTAGACTCATTTTACTGATATAAAGAATATTGTGTAGGATTTATGCGTTTGAGTCTTGGTCCATTATAATCTTCTATATAAAATCGTGCAAGATTTGTGCCCACATTAGGTTTTTATGCAATTTTATGCAGTTATGTAACGCGTTTTAAAAAAATCATACTGTGCTCATTCATTAAAACTATAACAAATATAACTACATTTAAAATATAATCCTGATCTTATATTTATATCATTACTAAAATAAAATTCCTGAGAAACTAAATATTATATAAGAAAATAAATAATTATGTTAAATAATTATATTTATGAAAAAGGTTCATTTGAATTAGAGAATCAAATGGAATGATATATATGTTTATGTATTATTTTTCTCTATACTTTTGTTTCACCTTTAAATTGAAGCAGACATCCTACAGCACCAAAATAACCCTAAAATTAAAAAAGATTAATAAATACATTTAAATTTATTTAAAAAATTTATTATATATTCTACCTCATGTTCTAGAAATAGAGCTTTCATAGTTCCTTTAGACCAATAATCCATAGCATAAGCCAGAAGTTTCATTGATATAGGATTTACTCTAAGAAAGTTTCCTACAAATACAACCTAGAATTTCAATCAATATTATTAATAAAAATTGAATATAATAAATACAATAATCAATATTAATATAATAATATAATTTTTTTACCCTCTCAATTTTTTCGTTAACAGCACACATACGAGCGATAGAGCCAATATTGTTTGTAATAGTAACAAGTGTTGCACGTGCAAGATCTTGTTTACTAACTGCATTCCGTCGCTCTTTAGAATTCATTTGTCCAAAACTATATATAACAGAATAATGCATATAAATAAAAAATAAGTTATAAAAGCATAAAATAAAAATGATTTATTTATTCATTAAAATTATTACCTGCTTGCAACAAGATCTCCAGGAAGACCAAAAGGTCCATAATCTCCACCATAAATATCCTTAACTAATTTATCTACTCTAGTATTATCACCTCCAGTTGCTAACTCTATTGCTTCTTCAAAAGTGTTACATCCAGTTAATAAACAACATAATCCTAAAAATGTACCTCCACCTAGACTAAATATGAAATAAATATTATTTTATATATATATATATATATAAATATTATAATATTATATATAATAAATATTATATATAAATATTATAAAAATTAAATATTATATATATAATTCAATATTATACTATATATAGAAGAAACATACCTAGTGCCAGATATTCTTTTATAATTTTCTGGTCCATAAACAGCTAAAATGCTTACTCCTGATCCTATATTTACAAGCTGTAAAATGTATTTATAAAATATGTATATAATACAAATTAATATTTTAGAAAATGAAACATACCAAAAAAGGATAGGGTTCAGAAAAATCATAGGGAACTTTCTGACATTTATTATCATCTGTAGGATAAGACCAATAATAACATTCATGTGGATTTGTTGTTTCAATATAAAGCATACCACGTATTAAACTATCTAGTTCATCAAATTTTGCTAAATTCATATTTACTTCCTATAAAAAAAATATAAGTTTTTATAATTTATATTTATATATGATATAAATTAAAATATATCATATAAAAAAATAAATAACTTACTTGTTTAAAGTTATTTTCAAATTTAAATGCTCCACCACCTGTAGCACAAACTGTTGTTACAAGATTTGCCATACCTTTAGATCTTGCTAATGCTAAAAAATTTCCCATTTCACTTGTAGGAAATCTAATAAAATGTAATGTACCGCGTCTACCTCTAATGCAAACATTATCCATCTATAATAAAACAATATTTTAAAATTTTTAATATGAAAAATAACATGAAAAATAGAATATTCATGAAATATTCAAGAAACATACTTGCAAATGTGTATCTCTATGACCTGTTTTCCCATATGCTGAATTTTTAGTTAAATATCGTCGAATATTTTTCAGAGTCTCAAGTTCTGCATCTGCTTCATCTCTTGTAGTATCTTTAGGTTCAAAATATACTAATTTAGATAATGTACCTCCTATATCCATACCAAACCATGGCATTGCTAAGAACATAAAACATTATGCATATGAATTATGAACATGAATATTAGAAATACTTAAATAATAAATAATTAAATAAAATTCAATCATTACAATAAAAATATAAATTAATTTGTTATTACAAATTGTATATGAAAAAGCATACAGTATTTATATATTAAAAAAATGCAAATTGTAAATTTATTATAAGCTTCAACAATATTATTGATTATAATATTAAAATATAAAATATAAATTATAATATAAAAAAGTAACAATAAAAAAATTAAATCATAATTGTTACATATACTGCTGCTGTAAAGATATTTTAAAAATAATATTAATAAAAAAAATAAAAATGGCTACTCTAAGCACACATACACTTGAATGACTCACAAGGTGATGAATGATTTTTGGACTCCTTAGAAAGAGTCTCAGTATTAGTATAACCATTGGATGTCATAGCTTTTGTTGTGATATGATTTTTATAATTTTGAGGACTCATTGTTGATCTTCGAGTCATTTACAATCTTCTTCAATATATGTAATTTCTTAGCTGGAAATTAAAAAAAAATTATGTGAACAATATAATGTATTTTAATATATACAATTTAGAAAACTATAAATTAATTTCATACAATATTTTTATTTTAACATAGTCATATATTTTAGTCATATTTTTTATAGTCATATTTTTTAAATATTTATTATATATTAATAGCAAATCATTAAATTGAAAAAATTAAAAAGAAATTATTTATTTAAATATTTATTCTAATATCTAATCATATTCTCCATATTTTTTGACAAATAAAAAAAAATACATTATTCATAAATTAAATAGATAAATAGATTAAAAAGTAAAAGTATAAAAGTATATTTATTTATTTTTTTATTATAGTTTTATTGATAATATCAAAAAGATTTATTTTATTATAATTATATCAAATAATTTAAATTTAAATAACTTACAATATTATATTTTCTTCAATTATTAATAATTAAATTGTCTCTTTATGACTTAGTCACTGTGTACATTCTTAATTGGTTAACAACACTGTTTTAAATATGTTAGATGAAAACTTATTATATATGTATAACAAAATGATAAATTAAAATATAAAATATCATTACTATTTTATTAATATATTTAAAATTAATGTTAATTAATTTTAAATCAGGAATAACAATTTTTAATAATATTTATAAAATAAAGTTATCGATACTTTTAACAATCTAAAATGACGAATTATAAGAATGATGATATAAAGTACATTATACACACACAAAATTATTTTAATAATATGAATATGAATGACAAGTATTTATTTAATTTCAGAGAAAAACAAAAAAAGCACAATAAATCTGATCTCCAATAGATATTAACTATTGGCTAATCAAAAGACAAGAGGGAATAAACTACGCCATTGCGCTCATGTTAACCAATGATAGAAACGAAGCAATAGAGAATTGTTATAACTGTATTTTATACGGTACAAGTAAAAAATAAAAGTAGAAATTAAAATATAATTCGACTTAAAAATGTCATTTCAAATTAAATTAGATTCTCCCTATGAAAAATCATAGTTTAATAATAAATAAATTTTTCAATAAAAATAATGACCATTTTTAAATCAGATTATTTTATTATCGAATAATAATTTTGATTTATTGTTAAAATTGATTCTATTATAAAATATTGATTCATAAATTATTATAATTTTAATCAAAATGTTATTAAATATTGTATTCAATTTATAAAAATGAATATGAATATAGAACTAAATCACAATCACTTCTTATTTTAATTTTAATTTATTTTAACAACATCGTACTAATATTATTTAGAAATTATATTTTATAAAGAACTTATTCAATAATCATTTTTCTAAACTTATTTGCTTTTTAAATTTCTATAATAATATAGAATGACAGTCATACAATTATAAAAATTTTTTATATTAATTTTTTTTATTTTTACATATAACATTACTCACATCATAAATCCATGTTACTAAAATCTATATAAAAAAAACTCGTAAAATACATTTTTTATTACGAATTAATTTAATTTAAATTAATTTTTAACATCACAAAATTTAGATTTATGAATTTAAAAACTTATATTATAAACTTTTGTATAAGATAAGCTATTTTTCTGTATATATTAATTTATATATATTTCATAATCACGTGTGTCTATTGACATAATATATAAAGGTCATAAATGTCTTCGCATTTTACGTAATTAAAAGCAAATATTCAATTACTATTTTATTATTATTTATTATAGAAAAACAACAAAATAATAAATTATTAATATTAAATTGAAATAATATTAATATAATATAATATTAATATTAGTATATAATTACAATTATATATAATAATTATATAATTTAAAAAGTATTTTATAATTTTGTATAATTTAATAATAAGTTTATAAATAAATAATATATAAATAAGTCAATAATTTTTCTTATTAGCAATTTAATAAATAACATATAAAATATGGAATTAATAATTAAATAATATGGTATATTTTAAATCTCTTTATTAAGACTCAATATAATTATATTTTATATATAGCTAATTAACTACATTGAGTACGAGCCATCATAGAAATCTTCTGTGCTTTCTGTACTATGTCTGGGCAATGTTTACGACGTACAAGTTTACAATCTTGAAAGAAACCTTCATTTCTAGGGAAACCATGTGATCCATCAGCATATGTAACTAATCCTAAAAATAATAATTTATTAATTTAATATAAAAAGTTTGACATTTAAGATCTTGCATACCTAATCCCCATACACGGCCACCACGAAATTCTCCTTCAAATTTCATACCATCTGATCTCCAAAACACACCATGACCATGAAACCAACCTTGCATAAATTCACCTTCGTATCTAATAAAAAATATTATTAGATTGATAATCATAAAAAATAAAATAGAAAGTTTTTTATATATAAAATAACTTATATATAATACTTACTTTGCTCCATCTGGAAATACTATAACTCCTAAACCAGAACATAGTCCATTTTGAAAACCTCCATCATAACGTGTTCCATCAGGAAGCAATAAAGAACCAGCACCATGCTTTAATCCTTTTGCATTCCAATCTCCAATATATTTTGTACCATCTTCATATTTATATGCACCATTTTTTACTATACCTATGAATAGATTTTAATACTATACATATTTTTCATATATTTTTTTTATATTTTTAAAATTAAAAAAAAAAAAGAAAAAGAAAATCAGTGTAAGTTAAGTCTTACCATCACCCATGCTTCTAGTATACTAAATGTATTAAGAATAACTTTCAGGTTTCAATCTCATTATAGAAATCAATTCTTTATTCAATTATATACATTATGTACAATATATAGAACAAACATAATATAATAAATCAATTTCTTTAGTTTTATTCTTAGAAAAAAGTACAATGAAAAAAATCATTTGTTTGGAATATTGTATATAAATGAATATATAAAAGATTTGTATATATAATTTTGAAAATATATAAAACAATATTATAACTAAATTATTTATCTCTTATCTATATTAAGTAAAAATAAATGTATACATTTATAAATTACAAAAAACTTTATTGTGATAAATTTCATGTAAATTAAAATAAAACAGATCATTATTCTTTTAATATTCCTGGCGCACCAACTAAAAACCATCTTGTTCTTGCTTTTACTGCGGCTTTTCGCACTAAACGTTTTCGATCATCAATTGATATTGATAATTTTTCTAATACATCTTGTTTATACATATTGATTAAAACAATTGGATATTTACAATAATTTGTTAGGCATTCTAAAGCTGCTATTCTGACTCTCTGCAACATTAATTAAAAAATATTAAATAAAATAAGATGTACAAAATTAAAATAATATAAATGAAAATATTCATAAAATAATTTATTTATATTATAAATATAAATTAATAATAATTTCTTCAAATATTACCATTGTTTTATAAGTAGATAAGTTTAACAATCTCGGAATAAAACATTGTATTTTATCAGAAAAAATATCATGTTTAGTCTCTAAGAGAAGATTCAATGTTGTTAAAGTTAAAAAAAGTAATTGTTCATTGTCAAGAGATAAAGATTCTATTAAAAGAGGGACCAGCTGAAAAAAATAAAGATTAATATATACTATAAATTAATATATATTATAAATTATTAATATATCAAATATAATCAATACCTTAGATAAATACATAAAGAAGAGTTCTACAGGTACTTCTTCTAATAATTGTACTAATGCACTTAAATAGTTTTGTCTTGAGATATTTTCAAATTCAAAATTTTTTTTAATTAAATGTTCAAATACTCTTTGTTTATACAAAATTTTAACATTACAGAAATTTTCTTCTATCAAAGTATCTTCATGCCTATTTGTTAAGATTTTATATTCTTGTGCTATATGTTGACCTATTTGATCATGTTTTAAAATATTGGTAAGCTGTGAATACAGTATTAAAAAAATATTACATGTTGTTTATAAAATATTTTTTAAAAATATCAAAAATTTTTACGTACTTCATTCAAAAATATTTCAACATTACAAGAACCTTTTGTAATTATAGCTTTTGTTAACCATACTTGTAAAGAAACTGCTGCTTTCATTATTTCAATATTAACATTTAAATACAAATTATTATTTATTTTCTCTTTGAAATATGATAAAATACGTAAAAACGATTCGTCATTATCATTAATTTTGTTTAATATTACAGCAATAAATTTATGCGTTATAAGTCTTATATTTAAATAATTATTATTAAATGCCAAATTATAAAGATTTTGTAATAAATTTAAATTTATTATAAAATCAACATTTTGACGTAAAGGAATGAAAAGATTCATTACAAAAATAGCATCAAATTCTGAAACTTGTTCACTTAAAACTGAAGCATATTTATTAATAAGATTTTGTTGCTCTTCAAGTGTTAAATTTCGTATAATTAATCGACAAATATTTAAAACTATATCTAATCTTTGATCTATAGGATTAAATCTAAGTGCAATCAATTTTTGAATTATATTACACTCATAATATAGATAATGTTGTACATTATAATCAATATTTTTTGTAGCAACTAGCCTATGAAGACATGTTAAAGCTGTAAAGCTTATATCAAAATTTGCAATATTTGTTTGTGATACAATTTGAGGAAGAACTTCAATAGCTAATTTATACGTTTTAGCAACAGCTGCTAGTACTTCTAATTTATGAATTTGTATTTCTATTTTCTCTTCACCTGAAACAATTAAAATGATAAAGTTTTATTTTAAAATAAAATAAAATTCTAAATCATACTTCAATTATTAGATTACCAGTTAATTGAAATTTTTCTTTAATTAAATTTGATATTTCATCTGAATATAATGTAGCAAAACTTATAAGACATGAATGACAAAGTATTTTTATTTCATTATATCTCATTTCACTCAAACTATAAATTTTATCATAAATTAGAGTGCGATGTGTTTTATTTAAATATGCTTTTTGTATTGTTAAACCAAACAATATCTTAGATTGTAATTCTGTATTTTGTGTTGATAATTCATTTAAATATAAATTTGGTATATCTGTCCATGCTAGTTCTGGAATATCTAAAAAAAATTTTATTATTTTATATTAAAATTAAAATAATTTTTAATACATATCTCAAAGTATATGAGATATATATTCACCCTTGATAGTAAATCCATAATCAGAAGCAATTTTAATAAAAGTATTTAATGTTTCAATTAAAATTACTTTATTAATTATTGAAATATCAGTAGAATATTGACCAAGAGATAATGGTACTATTACTTTTAATATTTCTGTACATGATTCTTTATTGACCATTGCCACACATTCCAACAATTTTACAGTTGGTCTAAATAAACTAAGTTGCACATCATACATAGATAAATTTACATTTGTAATTATATCATCAATAAAACTTTTACAAAGTTTAACATCACTTGATATAATTTCAATTAAAGATATAACTGCCTTTAAACTTGCATTTTTTAATTCTAAATCTGCACCTGGTATAATTTCTTTTTTTAAAGCAATAAATAATTCAGTCAAATGTGGTTCAAGACCTTTTACACCAAATATTGGTGTACCTTTGCACAATAAATTTAAAGAATCCATTTTGGCAATCTTAAGATTAGAGAATAATTTATCAATTATAAGTGGTATACAGAATTCAGCAAATTCTGGTATAGCACAAAGACAAGGTGCCAATTTTTCTGCCAAATCATCACGTGTTATCCCTATTCCCTCTGTTCCAGACTGAAAAATGTCAAGTCAAATTACAATTCATATTCATAAATGATGTATAATTAAAATCTTGATTGGTTGATTTAATTACAGGATTGAAGTCAACTGGAAAGTAACATGCAATGACTTCAAACATTTCTTCAGTTAAATGGCCTAGTGAAAATTCTTTTATAAATTTTGGAAGTGCACTAAATAATAGCATAAGATTTCTAGGATCCCTTTCTCCATCTATAGCACTAATAACTCCATAAATAAAATCTGGTCCCATAGCTTTTAAATCTTCTATTTTATTTTCCAATAATGTTATAAATATGAAATATATATTCCTACGATCAAATAATAATTGAGATTGACACTGAACATTTTCAAAAAGAGCTCTGAATAAATGTGCAGGTGAATCTTTAGGCAAATGAGTCATTTGAACCTGAAAGAATCATTATTCATTTATATAATTATTACAATTAAATATAATTTTAATAAATGCAAAACTTACAATTGATAAAATTCCTTTTAATACTGCTGGTATAATGTTATGATGATCCTTTAATCTATCACAATAAAATGATGTTATAAAACCCAATTCAGCTTCATTCAAAAAATCTTTTGGTAAATAAAATAAAATAATAGAAAGAGCACAAATGCCTTTTTCTCGTATTTTAACATCTTTTTCTGTTACAAAAGGTCCAAGTTCTTCCACAACTGTATAAAGTTTTGCATATCCAGATTGTATTTCTAAATTAAAAAAGAATTATTTATTTTTAAAAAAAATAAATTTTAAACAAATATTTTTTATTTCAATAATTTACAAATTTAATAATTCTAATAAAGATATTATTTTTATTAATGTAAATAAATGTAGATAATATTTTAATGAACTACAAACAAGTTTTCTAGTTTTTGCTTTAAACATCAAGGCCAATTATCTATATGTAGAGAAAGAACAATCATGCTAATTAATACACACCTAAAGCGATCTGTTGGCATGTTATGTTCAGTGTTTCGTCTTCTTTAAAAGCAGTAAGAAATCTTTCTTTAAAAACAGTACTTGTAAGTGAAGCCATTGCAAACCATGCCTTCTTTCTATATTACTTAACCTTAATATATTAATAAAATATAATTTTATCAAATATAATCGTGATTAATTTTTTGATTTAAAATTATTAAATATATTTGAATCATAAAATAATTTGATAACTATTTCGCGTGACACGTCTTAGTAGAATATTAGATTTATTAAAAAATTGTTTATAAAACTTGTTTTATTTAGGTTTTAAACCCATTTATATGAATTAATATTTCAGGTTAGGTACTAATGATTCGATTATAGCGCCTCTAATGGTACCGATTTGTAATTCAGTGGATAAGATGGACGAAAATGGCATGTGAGGTGTTGTTAAATTTTAGTGAAATGTTTGGTTACATCAGCCACCTAGGATGGGAGGCTGCATAGGTATAACAAGGGCAAGAAATGCCTCTGTTGATAATACTACAGGAAATTCTACGAGAGTAAATTCAGGTAAAAATTAAAATGAAATTTTGCGCGTAGAAATTGCAATCAACAACAGTTAACCTTGAAGATAGTTCAGGTTTTTTCCTTACCTTCGTACCTAGCATTTATTGCGTGTTATGCATTGATATTTGCATATTATTTATTACATAAAATATTGAAAGATTGAATTATATATATATATATATATATATATGCGTATATATATATACATATATATATATATATATATATATATATATATATATATATCATATGTAGTATATATATATATATATATATACATGTATGTATTATAATGTTTTGTGACAATCAAACAATTTTATAAAGAATATTTTTATTGTATTAAAAAAAAAAAGGCATTGTTAGAATTTCAACATTACTTGTCATTTTTTTTTTAAATTTGGAATAATTATATTTTATAACATAAATTATCTTCATAACTATCTTTAGTTTTATATATAAGCTTTTGAAATATGTTTTTACATTTTTAATTTTATAAAGAATTTATCATATTATAAAAAAAATGTTATATTTACATAGGAAATTCAAGAAAAAATCATCCATTATGTCATGAGGCAATTAGGTGGAAATCAGATGTACCTTTGACAGAAGGACAGCTAAGAAGTAAAAGAGATGAATTTTGGGATACTGCACCTGCATTTGATGGACGTAAAGAAATATGGGATGCATTAAGAGCAGGAGCAACAGCAGCAGAAGCTCAAGATTATCAATTAGCACAGGCTATATTAGATGGAGCTAATATTTCTGTTCCAAATGGTTTTTTAACAGAATGTTATGATGAATTGGGTACCAGATATCAAGTTCCCATTTATTGCTTATCATATCCAATTAATATTGTGAAAGAAGATAGTGGAAGAGATTCTCCTGCTGATTGTTCAGGTAATGTGCAATTTCATAAAAAAATTTTTCAAAAATCATATTTTTAGAAATTATCAAATCATAATTTTAGAAAGAAAATCAATTTTTAAAATATATTTATTTATTTATAGAACCTATTGATAGTGGAGTTGAACAGACATTGAAGCTAAGATTATCAACTACATTAGGTGAAGTTAAATTGCCAGTTTACAGTAAAGATACTATTGCTACTGCTAAAAAAAAATTGCAGGTATGTATATAATTATTCAAATTATATTTTATATCTTTATTCTGCATTAATTTATGATTTAATTTAATGAATAGAGTCAAGAAGGTTTAGAACCATCTCGTCAAAGGTGGTTTTTTGGTGGAAAGTTATTAGGTGATAAAATGCATATAGAAGAAGCAAAAATACAACCAGGCTATGTAATACAAGTAATTGTAAATCCAGAAAAATTAGATGACAGTCCTGTGAAAACAAGTTGAACTAATATTGCACAAGATACAAGTTATATTGAACCATCTTTCTCTGATAAACATATTCTTACCTGCATTCAAAGTAAGAATACATTTTTTTTTTTAATTTTATATTGTGTCATTATTAAGATCAGAGCAGCAATCTTGAAGTGATTTTTTATAATAAAATGCACTTACAACGTAACTTTCGTAAAATAAATATATATATATATATATATATATATATATAAATATATATAATATATATATATAATATAAGACATAATATATTTATATATATTATATATATTTATATACAATTGTTATAAGGATTAAATAATATTGCGTTTAAATTGTGGGTTGTGATTATTTAATTTTTATTAATTTATAAACTAGTAAAAAAAATGCTAACTACATATAAAATAAACTGTTAAAGAATTTTGATTAACATTGGTTTAAGTTAAATACTTACAAAAAAGATTATGAATAATTGGTATTGAGATAACATTTACCTCATAGCAGGAATGTTGTTATACTTATTTGTTATTACCAACAAAGGTGCTGGTGCTGTAACACTTGGGAAACTAAGTATTACACGTAGAAAATTATTCTATGCTGCTTATTAAACAATGTTGCATAATTATATAATATAAAAATTAAATTGTACACTTAAAAAAGATTATAATAATAACAATAATGATAAGGAAATTATAAAAAAAATTATATAAATATGAATGAATATAAAAATACAATGGACAATAGTGAAAAAAGGAGCAAAGTATATACTAATTGTTGCAATGCATTTTTCTTTCATTTCTTACAAATTTCACATTTTCTGAACTTTTTATAATTAATAATTTTAATTTTTTTTTAAATCAAATCAATAGAAAAAATTATAACAGCTTTATTGCATAATATGTAGAATATATACACAAATCTTTGACATTTTCATTTTGATTAAATTTATTAAATTTTTTGTAAATGTATCGTGAACGTTTATAAGATATATATTTGGATTATTTCATAAAAGTACATGTTGGCCTATTAGTGGCCTAAAATTTACGATTCCTTCCTATAAGTACTAAGAAGATATAATATAAGATCTACTGCTGAATAATGCACAGAAGAAAAAATGTACGATTAATAATTAAATTACATGTGGTGCAGAATATAATTTTTACATAATTTTATCAGCACAATCACTTTCATATCTATGTTTCATATTTGTGCTTACAATAAAATGATCACAATAAAATCATTATTGCTAATTCAAGTTTAATAGCACTTAATTCTTACTTCTGCTCCACATGTTGCACAAAAAAAATGATCTAGAGTATAATTATATCAGATGACATATTATGCGTGTGAATTTATTGACTGTACTAACCCAGCAGTGATAAGTTTGTTTTTCATATGCATTGATTATAAAATTATAATATATAGTATTGCGTGTGCGTGTATGTATAATATATAATATGTATGTATACAGATACATATGTTGGTTCCACTATTCTCAATTTGAGTGTCAAAGCAAACATATTTAATCTTATAAGTAATTTATTTATAAATTGGATTATTGCATACAAGTGATAGAAATGACTGGAAGCAATCATTAAAAATATGAACATAAATGTATAAAATCCTGTTCATATTAAGAAAATGAAATCTTGCATTAACTATTACTTGCATTATTATATGCATTTTTTTGATACATTATAAACATCAGTGCAAATAAAGCAAGCACTTGTTTTAAGTCTGTAAATTTAAAAGTTCCATATATTCACTATATTATTCATTTATTTACATTTTCAATAATTGTGTTCAAGGATTAGCAAAAACAAAATCTCTTTGTTCAATAATCAATGTAATGATGCATTAAGAATATATAAATACTGAATAATGTTGTTTAAATCGACATTTTTTTAGTAAAACAATAACATTGTCTAAAATATTATTTTTTATGAGCTTTAGTCTAAACATACATAATCGATAATTGACGATCATATCAATTAAAATATTGATCAGTTAGTTCATGGCTGATTAAAGGCACAAAGTTCTATGCCTAATAATTGAAATAATTAAAAAATGAAATATTTTCCATTTGTTTTATCGATTATGTATAAATAGATTTGAGTTCATATTTGAGTTCATAAATATGAAAATGATAATATTGCATTTATAGAGAGATTTGTTACCAAGAATTAAGACATAAGATTCTCAATGGAACAATAAATTCTATCAGACTGATATTAGTTTTGCAATATAGAATTTGTGTTATTTACAATACATAGCAAGAGACTGCATTTTAAGTTCATTTTGATTGATATTCAAATAATACAAGAAGATTATTTTGTGTATAGTATTAATTAAACTATATTTTTCACGCATATTTCATATAAAGATTTTAATATAAATGTTGCGTTTTTTAAGTGATATAATTTGTATTTGTATGAATGATAATATACATTTTCCTTTTTTTAATACTCATGTCCGTATAATGTTGAATAAAAATGTGATGCGGCGCAATTGTCATATAATAAAATAAAAATATGACGAGTGTAAATAAAAAGTGTTACAATAATGAAAGTGCAATTTAGAACGCCTCTTAAATATTGCTACTGCTTAATATTAATAATGCTATGTTGGACCAATATAAGGCGTTTTAAACGAAAAACAAAGATTAAAGGACGACTGATTGGAGATGAGGTAGAACAACTGCCAATAAAAATAAAATTGAATTCATTGTATTGCTAATCAGAAATTATAAAATATGAAAAAAATTTTTGAAATGTTAATAAAAAATATTATTATAATTAAATAGCAATTATTCATTAAGCAGGGTTTACACATTTTTTAAATTAATTGAATAAATAATATTACTTATTAAAACTGGTTTTTGAAATTAGATGCTAGTACTAACATTATTAAATATTTATCATATGCAAAGCATTAAAATAAATAAATGATGTTAGTAATAAATTTTTTTATTTATACTTTAAAAATAATCCAGTCACGTTCGTAAAATATAATCTAAAAAATGTTAATATTTGTTTAATATTATTTTAAATTAAATATTTATTTGTTCTTTTTAAATATTAAATATGAAATTGAAAATAGATTTTCAATGATATAAAATTACTTAAAATTTGATATAATATTTGTATAATAAATATATTGCCTTAAAATGAATGTAAATGATTTTCCATGAATATTAATTATTATAATTTATGCGTTGTCAAATAAAATATAATATTGTGAAACTATTGTAGCACTTTTTTTTATGAATTTTTAAATAACAAAAAAATAAAATAAAATATACAGGATATTTTATAAATTTATTTTAATACATATTTTAAATATTTTAATTCATGACATAACCATATCATTGTACTCAAAACAATAAGACTGCCAGATTGATGAGATGCAGCTATTGATAAAGGTACATGATGCAACAACGTTGAAATACCTAATAGCACTTGTAAATAGCCAGAACAAAGAACTGCTATTGCAGCTTTTTTTGCATTACCCGGAAGTTTATATTTACGAGACGCAATTGCAATATAAGTTATTAATGATAAAGTTGTAATACCCTGTAAAAAACAAATTTAGTTTATAATATTATATTTTAGTTTGTAATATCATAATTTGATTCAATTTGTTTTTTCTTAAAATATACCAGAATTCGATGATCGAATTGTATTGTAGTTGGATTTTCGGTAAAATTTTTCCATATAGGTGATATCGCAAATATATCGTCTGGTATCCATTTATTTGCCATTTTTGGAAATGTATTATAAATAAGACCTGCATCCATTCCTGCAACGAAAGCTCCGGACAAAGCAGTAAAGAAGACTAGTCCTTTCGTTAAATGAACCAACATTCTAAATTTCTTCAGTTTTGATTTCAAATCACTAATATTAACATTTGAATTATTAAGAGTTAATTTTTGAGCAGGAACCAAGTAATTTAAAGCATTATATAAAAATCCTGTATATAATAGAAATGCTATTCCCAAATGCGCAGCCAAACGATATTGCGAGACGCGGGGTACGTCTGAGGGTTCCACGAAACGATCTTCTAAACCCGATTTAACCATATACCAACCCATAAGTCCTTGTAAACCAATTAATGAACCCAAAATGGTTATTCTGATTTTCATGCTTGGTTTAAGCATACCTTTTGCCCAAAAATAAGTAGCTGGAACTATGAAAACAGCACCTATCAAACGTCCCCACATTCTATGCAAATATTCCATCCACCAAATTCGTTTAAATTCTTCCAATGTCATATTTTGATTATTACTACAAAAAAAATTAATATGAAAAATGAATTTGATAAATAATATTATTATTTTATATTCTAAAACTCTTACATTTTATATTCAGGAAATTGTTTATAACGTTCAAATTCTGCATGCCATTGACTTTCAGTAATTGGCATTTTTTCTCCAAGTAATTTCCAAGTAACCATGGATAAACCAGATTCTGTAAGTCTTGTTACACCTCCTAAATTCATAGGTAAGATTCAATAATATAATAGTTCTTTTTTAATTTCTTTATTTATATTATATTTTATAATAGAAATTTATTATATATATATATATTTATAATATATTATAAACATGTTATAAGCATATGTATTAATTGTAATAATGAATATTCGTTTAAAGTACTTCTTAATTATTATGATAAATTTATTTTCCATAAGTCTTATCTACAACTGCTTTTATGATAGTACAAGCGCAATAATAAAAAAACCAATAAAAAACTGTACCTAAAATAACAGCTACAAAAATCATGCCACTACAACTTAATAACCATTTGCCCAAAACTTTATCTGATTTCTGACTTGATTTTGATGAAAATCCTTTTGCAATGATATTATATCCTTTAAATAAATCCTGAAATTAAATTATTACATAAAATTATTTAAAATTATATTATTATTTTGTACATTAAATATATAGCTATATATATTTATTATTGTACACTAATATATAATACTTTATGCAAAATGGAATTCCTTTTCACTAATGTAAGAGTTGTAATTACTGATTTTGGAGTATATGTATATAAATTTTTTTTAACTGGAAGAAACTTTATTATGCTGTTTCTCATTATTGTTGAAGTACAATATCTTGTTAAACTCAACATGCTAGAAAAAATTAAAATTAGTATTAAAATTTAGATAGTAAATAAAAAACAATGACTTGCATAAATAAATATATACTTACATTGTGATATTATATCTTTCCTTAAAATGATAATTCTCTTTTACAATTCTTTATTAATTAATATAAATAAGTGTATATATATTATTTTTACATTTTCGTATTTAACATTTTAATATATAATATATATTTAAATAAATATTGTTAGTTACAAAAATAAGAAAAAATTTATCAATTTTTAAGTGTTAGATAGCATATTGATAATTACGAAAAATTTTTGTAAAACGTAAATATCAATGAAGTTATTGTTATGATAATAATAACAATAAAAGTTCAAAAAATTCTGATATAGCGCTTTATTATAAATCGTAAGAATAACAACGGTTCTCAAGATAACTGTCAAAAAATTACGTTATAAATTATACGATTCAAATAGTATGTTCTTTCTAACCTTGTGTAAAATAATGGTTAGTACGTAAAACATCATACATTTTCAAATTTTATACATCAATTTATATTATTGAATTTATATTTAATATACTTTCAATAATTTTTCGTTGTATTCATAAAACGTTTGATAAGATTATTTTATTTCGATAAGATAATAGTGTTATAATTCAAATGTATGGTACAAATTGAGTAATATTCGTGTCACAAATACATATATTGGTAAATATATTAATTTTAAATTTTATTTTTAATTATTGTCATATTGATTTAAATATTACACGAATTTTTTTAATTTATATAAAATTAAATATTTTTTTGTTTTAGTATATTATATATTAATAAAAGAAAACATTAATATGGCCCAAAGAAGTGGTGTAATTAAATTAGCTAAATTACGAGAATTAATGAAAGCTGTTCAAATAGGTGGACTTAAAGAGAAAGGTATTCAGGCTTTAATTGTAAGTTCAGATGATGCTCATCAATCAGAATATTTAAGAGAGCATGATAAAAGAATTTGTTTCATAAGTGGTTTCACTGGTTCTTTTGGTACTGCAATTATTACACAAAACAAAGCTCTACTCTGGACTGATGGAAGATACTATATGCAAGCTTTAGCTGAATTTGATCCATCAGAAGAATGGACTTTAATGAAAGAAGGTTTATTGGACACTCCAACTAGAGCTGCTTGGTTGACTTGTAATTTACCTCCTAAATCTACTGTTGGTGCAGATTCTAATTTAATAAGTTACACAGAATGGGTAATTTTACATACTAGTTTAACTGCTGCTGGTCATTGCTTAATGCCTCTTGAAGAGAATCTTATTGATAAAGTTTGGGGTGATGAGCAACCTGCTCCTACAGCTAATATTATTGTACCTCAATCATTACAATTTTCTGGGTGTATAGCAGGGAAAAAAGTGAAATTATGTAGGGAAATAATGAACAAAAATAAAGTAAAAGCACTTGTAATCACAGCTCTAGATGAAATAGCATACATTTTAAATTTAAGAGGATCTGATATACCTTATAATCCTGTCTTCTTTGCATATATCATTCTTACATTAGATCATTTACATTTATTCGTTGATATAAGCAAACTTACAGAAGAAGCACAACAACAATTGATTATTGAAGAAGTAAATTTAATTTATCATCCATATGAAGATATACATAATTGTTTAAAGAAAATTGCAAATTTGTGCATAAATGATGATAAAATATGGCTAAGTAATAGTTCTAGTTATGCTTTACATGCTGATTGTGGAGAAGCAAAGAAACATATAAAAATTACTCCAATAAGCGTCATGAAGGCAGTAAAAAATAATACTGAAATAGCGGGAATGAAAGCGGCACATATACGAGATTCAGTTGCGCTTGTAAAATATTTTGCTTGGTTAGAAGATCAAATTAAAAATAAAAAGAATACTGTCACAGAAATATCTGGAGCAACTCAACTTGAAAAATTTAGACAGTAAGAAAATTTGTATATAATATTATAAAATTTAGATATAATAGAAATATTAATTATAATGTTCATTATTCAAAAGGGAACAAGAACATTTTATTGGGCTCAGCTTTCCTACAATATCTTCAGTTGGACCACATGCAGCAATAATTCATTACTTACCAACATTGAAAACAGATGTACCAATTACAGATAAAGAAATTTATCTTTGTGATTCTGGAGCACAATATCAAGATGGTACCACAGATGTTACAAGAACATTACATTTTGGCAATCCAACAAATTTTGAACGTGAATGTTTCACGAGAGTATTTAAGGGACAGTGTCGTCTTTCGTCGACGATCTTTCCTTTAATGATACAAGGAAATTATCTTGATACACTTGCTCGGGAAAATTTATGGAATGTTGGGTAAATGTATTTATTTTGCTTATAAAATGAAAAATACTATTTATTCATATTTAAATATATAATTACAGTCTCAATTATCTTCATGGTACAGGACATGGAATAGGTTCATATCTAAATGTTCATGAAGGACCAATCAGTATTTCTTGGAGACCATATCCTGATGATCCAGGTTTACAACCTGGCATGTTTCTTTCAAATGGTATAATGTAAAAAATTTTTTTTCATCATTATATACTAAATTTATATATATAATATATGTATTAATATAACTAATAAAATCATTAGAACCAGGATATTATGAAGATGAAAAATTTGGCATTAGATTGGAAAATATAGAATTGATAGTAAAGGCAAATACACATTATAATCATAAGAATCGTGGCTTTCTTACTTTTGAAACAGTTACATTGGTGCCTATTCAAACTAAACTACTTGACATTTCCTTATTAACGGATGTTGAGGTATAGATTCAATTTGTTCTTCTTATATTAATTGCTTTAAAATAATTGATTGTAATTTCTTTTCAGATTCAATATTTGAATAATTATCATGCAAAATGTTTGAATACTATAAAACCTCTATTGCAAGGAGCAGAAAATATTCAAACACTTGAATGGTTAGAAAGAGAAACACGACCTCTCACAAAATAATTGCTAATTCACAAAAATAAATTCCATAAAATTACATTTTTTATCATTTACAATTACAATGCACAATAAATTTTTTATGATTATTTTGATTTAACTAATCCCATTTTCTTTAGTAATTTCAAAATTTGTTATCTTTTTAAGTTATTTGCTTTATGATATAAAAATCAATGAAAAATTCTATGAATAATCACCAAAACAACCAAGGAGGTTGATGTAATTTATCTAAAGAAGTATAAGTTAAATTCACTGGGATATTGATTAAGGCAAATGGTTGATTTAAACGTTTTAGAGTCTGCCGGATCATTTTGCCGTTCTTACCGAGCAAAAATCCAGCAGGAATGTTTACAGTCTTTGATGACGGAATAGTATCATCGCGTATCATCTCTATGTAATAATAATCAGCCCATAAAGAATTACTTATTGATTCTTCCATAGAAGACGAATGATAATCTGCTATGATTACAGCTTTTGCTCCAGCTTCTTCTGCCATTATGCTTTTAGCAAAGAAACTACAATCTCCTCTCTCAACTAATGCAATTCTACCTTTCAATTCTTTTGCATTTCTTACTATTTGACAGCCATGAGGAGGATCAGTTGGAACTAAAGGAATTTTTTCTTCTAAAAAACTTGCATTCTAAAAATAAATAATAACTCAAATTAAAATTAAATTTTTATTTATAACTTTATATAAATTATATTATTTTCATATACGTACGAATGGCGCTCCAAAATCTTTCGCGGGTCTTAATTTATATGTATATTCTAATTCCGGTGGATATATAATTTCAAAAAATACATCTGAACCAATACTTGTATCAATATAAGAACCTATCGATTTATACGTAAAAGAATGTCCTAATAAATATTTAGTCACGAATAATTATTTAATAATAAGTTTATATATAACTATATGAAATTGCTAATTACTAACCTTCACCAATGCCACCAGATATTCCAATATTGAGGAATATAAGAATGAAGCAAGAACTAAGAAATCTTATTTCCTGTATTTGCATGATGCATTCACATTATTAATGACATAACAAACATTTTAAAAAACTTAACCTGTCTAACATAACCAACAAGCTGTTTTCATTCGTGGATGTGATAATACGCAATCTAATCCAATATATATATATATATATATATATATATATATATGAGTACGCAACTGATGTAATAAAAAACACGTTATTTAATTTCATTGGTTAAAATATAAAATATTTTTATAAATATTAAATACTTAATAATTTATATAAAAAATAAATATTTTTATTTCTTTTAAATTTATATCCTCTCTTGATAAGAATTATAATTATTTTATTTTTTTATTTTTATAATTAGTTATGATCATAACTATTCTTGGTAATTTACGATTTCATTTTTTATAAAAAATAAAAAAAATATAAATTAAACCACTGTAGAATAGAAATATAATATATGCATAAAAATATTTTGATCTTTTGTTTAATTAGTTATGCATCTTCAAAAAATATTCAAACTTATTGCACACTATCATTGTAAATAAAATAAATTCTTTGGTAATTAAAATTATTTTTTGGGAAAATTATTGAAATTTCTTAAATGTCACAAATTATATGAAAAAGATAACGAATAACATCAATTTATAAAACAAGAAGAGCAATTAATAGATGAAGACAAAGATAGAGTAAGAATTGAATATTAATGCCATCTTACGAATGTTATAGAAAATTTTTCAAAAGCATATTAATAAAATAAAATAAGAATTGATCATCAACGTCATCTATAAGTGCTGTTGAAGAAAAGTAATTCTGTAAAGAGATATTCCTTGCACTCAAGAGATGGCACTACAGATCAATTCTTATTCTAATCATTTTTTTTTCTTTCTTAATATGTTTCAATTATGACAATATGAAAATGATATTAATTTCGATAGTTTTATCTTATTTCTTTTTCATATTATTTATCATATTATATCTTTATTATCATATTATATCTTTTTCATATTATTTACTTTATCTCTATTTGCATCACAAATCATGTGATCAAGAAATAATTCTAAAATTTAAATAACTTTATCATTTTCTTTTCTATATTGATAAAAATCTTAAGAAAATTATTCTATTCAATTTTTATATATTGTAAATAAATAGAATTTATAGATAGCTAATTTTGTATTTATATTTCATATAAAATTTTATATATATATTTTTTTTCCGTAAAAATATATATTATGTATATTTTGTATATTTACTTAATATATTTTTATAATTTTTGGATTATACAATTTTTCAATTTTGACCAATTTCTTCACTTTGTATCAGCAGAATATAAAATGATAGAAGATTGCTCGAGAAATTTTTAGATGAATTTCGACAGTTTTTGAAATCATGTCAAATTCTTGGAATTTTTGAAATTCCTAAAATAAATTAGAACAAAATTTCAGCTAATTTTTCCACATTGTATCAGGAGAACATAAGTTGATAGGAAGTCATTCAAGAAATTTTTCCCGGTATTTCGACAGATCTTGGAAATGACGTCAAATTCCTAAAATTTTAGAATAGAATATATAGATCTGGAAAGGACGTCACATTCCTCAAAATTATCAAAACTCTTGGGCAAAATAATTTTTGGCCGAAAATTCGATTTTGTATTAGGAAAACATAAGTTGATAGAAGATCGTTCGATAAATTTTTCCCGGAATTTCGGCAGTTCTTGGAAATGACGTCACATTCCTGGAATTACCAAAACTCGTGGGCGAAATAATTTTTGCTCGAAAATTCGATTTTGTATTAGGAGAACATAAGTTGATAGGAGGTCGTTCGATAAATTTTTCCCGGAATTTCGGCAGTTCTTGGAAATGACGTCACATTCCTGGAATTACCAAAACTCGTGGGCGAAATAATTTTTGCCCGAAAATTCGATTTTGTATTAGGAGAACATAAGTTGATAGGAGGTCGTTCGATAAATTTTTCCTGGAATTTCGGCAGTTCTTGGAAATGACGTCAAATTCCTAGAATTTTAGAAATTCTTGGAAATGACGTCACATTCGTGGAATTATCAAAACTTTTGGGCGAAATAATTTTTGGTTGAAAATTCGATTTTGTATTAGGAGAACATAAGTTGATAGGAGGTCGTTCGATAAATTTTTCCTGGAATTTCGGCAGTTCTTGGAAATGACGTCAAATTCCTAGAATTTTAGAAATTCTTGGAAATAACGTCACATTCGTGGAATTATCAAAACTCTTGGGCGAAATAATTTTTGGTTGAAAATTCGATTTTGTATTAGGAGAACATAAGTTGATAGGAGGTCGTTCGATAAATTTTTCCCGGAATTTCGGTAGTTTTTGGGAATGACGTTATATTCCTAAAATTTTAGAAATTCTTGGAATAAATTAGACGAACGAAATTTCAGCTATTTTTTCGACTTTGTATCAGGTGAACATAAGTTGATGAGAGCTCGCTCGAAAAACTATTATTTACTATTTTTGGAAATTATATTAAATTTCTGAAATAAATTTGTAAAAATGAAATTTTGACTAATTTTTTAATTTTGTATTAGTAATTTTGTATTATTAAAAGCATTTGGTAAATTGTTCTTCAAAAATTTGAACGAAGTTTCTCCAATAATTTTTAACGAAATTTTGTTAAAAGAGAAAGAAAAAAGTTTGTCAAAAAAGAATTTTTATAAAATGTTAATAATTATAAAAAATACTTATCATTTGTATACTTAGCTGTTGCAGTTACTATTATTTTTAAATTTTGAATCATTTTTTTTAACAATTTCCTTCTAGTTTCTAAAAATATCTATTTTTTGCATATTTATCCCTTTTCTCAATTGAATAGAATATTTGATTGATTTTATGATTATATTAAAAGAATATAATATAAGAAGTATTTTTATATATATTTTATATAGTACTTATACATATTTAATACTGAGTTTTTTGAAAATTTTGTACTTTTCTTTACATTTAAATCTTGCATGCTTATCTCTTTATGTTATCATATTATCAAAAATATCAGTTTTTATTATTTTCTTAATTTTAATAAAGTTTGAAGTGTGATATACATATCTGTTTCATATTACTTTCTAGTAAATAACATAGCTGAACTTATTAATGTGACAGACAAGTAGTATAAGTCAATCATTAATCAGAAAAAGTAGTCAGATCAATTATTGGCCAAAATATTATATATATATTATCATATAAGATATACAATATATGACAAGATAAGGATATATATAAAATATACATATGTATACTATATATAAGAATTTAAAGTATATTAAGTGAAAACAACATATAGAAATATAAAAATGTATATAAAATATATATATAAAAATATAAAATATATATATTAATCAAATTATACATTCATACTGGACAAAAATACATGTAATATACATAATATTAAGATTTTTTCTGCTGTTCGAGTAATAGATTTTTATTTAGAAATATATTCATGAATAAAATTTCAGAATGTTTTTTATGCTTTATATAAAACATAAGTTTGATTTGTAATGAATAATTCTATACATGCACCTATTGTTATCGAAGGATTTAAAATACCTCCTAATATAATATTAATATATATTTACATATTGAAAGTAATTCTTAAATTCGCCGCTCTAAATTATAGAGGGCACATCAAAACCACTATTTGTACGATCGGTAATTCAGAACATGGAACACAAACTTATAAGAAAGGAAATCTATTTTGTACCTTATTTTTTATTTATTGGCAACTTTTTAATAGAATATATAAAATAGTTTTTTGAAAATGAACATGTTTCTTCAAATTTTGGAGTAAAATTATAAATATAATTCAATTTTCATAGAATCGAAGCAATTATTTCAACAGTCGATAAGATGTAAGTTTCAAAAGCAAAAGGAAACGAAAATTTGCGCATGCGCAATACTTCATTGCATTTCATGAATGGATGAACAGAGTGAATGAATAGACGTCAGCTGAATAGGGTTCGGTATACACACACACTTACTTACATACGTACGCGCCATAGAAACTGAAATTGTAAAAACTCGAACTGCAAAAATATAGAGGGTATAAAAAAATCACTTTCTAATCGTATATTTCATACAATTATTTTATTAAAAATTATACAATTATACATAAGATACATATTATAATTTATACATATTAAAATGTAATAAAAAAAGTACAAAATATATAATGGCGATTAAAATTTAATAAATGAACATAGTTTTATTCGTAAATATTTTGAAAATTTATATTTCTCCATGTTCTCGAAATTACAGATATCGTTTAAATCTGTACGTATCTTGAAATCGAAACATTTCGATTTTTTCCCAAGATGCACTTATGACGTAAATGGTAGAAAGTTGAGTAGTAATCGCTTCATTTTTTTGCTTTTTCATTGTGCAGTGGGCTTGGAGCAGCAAGTTACGCGCGTACGTTTCCCGCCTACGAATCGCAATTCCGTTCCAATAGGAGCATTGCGGAGTTATAAAATATTTGAACGAAACGTAAAGCGTTCACATTTGTATGTATCCGGCGCTATGCACTTTCCTCGACTATTTATTAGATTGTTGAAACGGATCATAACATCCGGTAAACGGGAAGATCGAGTCGATGACTGGTAGCCTTGATTATTCGCCAATACGCGGCTCAAATGCCTTCGGTATATCCTGCACAAATAAACGAAAATTAATCTCGATAAATCTTATCTCCGTTCCGTAACTTACCGATGATGCAAAGAGGATGCAGGTATTGTTTCATCGAGTCCGTTCCAAAATCGATCCACGGTACGGAGGAATCCCGTTGACGTTAATGCACTTACGAGCCTACAAAAGAGGGAAAGAAACGGGTGAGGTGACGAAAGCGTAATCATCCTTCTTCCATCGATCGATGCCCGTTCTAATCTCATTATCATCCTTCGCGTCCGCTTCACGGGATCATGGAAAAAGAAGAAGAGGAAGAAGAAGAGGAAGAAGAAAAAAAAGAATATCGAATCGTTGCAACGGCGCATAAAGTGACCGGCGCGGTAAAAATAACGAGCGGCGATCAACGTAATTCCTAAAATATCTACGAACGTACGAGCGAACTATTTTTGTATCGCCTTTGCAACCCTCTACGCGATGGTGGTGGTGGTGGTGGTGGTGATGGTGGTGGTGGAAAACGCGAGTATACCTCGCAACGTGCATACGATACC